TTTTCCTTGTTTTCATCAACCTTTCTGTGAAATGTTTAGATGTACCTAAATATCATTCTCATGAATTATTTTTCAGATTGTTCCAGTGCCTCTCTTCCCTCAAAAACTTCAGTTGGTTCTGTCTCTTGATCATTTGTTTGAGCTATTCTGTCATGTTCCTTCATGCGAACAGAAATTTTCTGTGGCTTTTTGAGCATTGTGGAGTTGTTCTATTTGTATTAAGATGATGAATGTATGTTGGTGTATCCTTAGACAGTCATCAACAGCCTCCTGTTGGGTGTGATCAGGAAACGAGCTTCTCCGTTCACTGCTCTTACTGTTCAATTCAGAGTGGATCTAGCTTATGTTGATTGTAGTTGCTGCTCTGGTGCATAGAAACTATATTGGCTGTTGCCCAATTAGGGGGACTATAGAGAGTATAGCAGTGATTTGGCTGTATGACTGTAGTTGCTATCTCCTGTCATGTGATGCAAGAAGGAAAACAAAACAAAACATAAAAACAGCCCAGTCACACAGTGAAAATTAAGTTGCGTAGCTTTCTCCTTACCAATAAGCAGTGTGCTGCTCCACCACTGGCCTCTTGCCTTCACAGTTACCTGAGAAAGTTCAAAATGGCCACGATGTGTCCAGCAGGCCCACACAGATCACCCACCTCTTATCACCCCCCTTTTGTTTTCTACTCCATGTGTCGTCCATTAAACCCCTCTCCTAGTGAGAGCCAATCCACTACAAAAGGAGAGTCCGGTAGAGGAGATATACTAAGTTCCATGTCTAATTACCTCCTTTAACAATCATCCCCAGGCAAGAATTGAATGGTGTCCAACTACCATTATTGAGTGTTTATGATCAAAGATTCTATAACAGAATCAGTATCAAAAGGGACAAAATGAGAAGCTGTTGTATTTCTCCTAGAATCCAGATTTCTAGGTCTATGCAGTTGAGATGACCCACTCAGCCCATCTGTTCTTAGGAGTCCTTTTGAACATTGAGCCTTTAAGGGAACTGTTTTCCTAAAGTTACCCTCAAGTCAAACAGCTCAGGAAGCAGCTTAGAGAATTAGGCACTGACTTCTGTTAGAGGATCTGTGTTCAGCCAGTTTGGAAGAGCAGGACCACATACTGGAAAATATACGTCATGTCCTTAGTGACTATATCTACAACCGACCCACCCTGGAACTCTGCACACATTCTGAGGTAGTCTCCTGAAAAATTTAAATGATAGTAACCTTATAGAACCTGATTTTCACTATCCTCTCCTCAGAGTGCCTTCCCAATAAGGTCAGTTTGATATTGCCCAATTGGAATCATATCTATTCATAATACATGTCTTATGTAAGCCCTGGTGATGTGATGGGTTAAACACTGGACTCCTAACCACAAGGTCAATGGTGCAAGCCCACCAGCCACTCCAAGTGAGAAAGACGAAACTGTCTGCTCCTATAAAGATTTATATTCTCAGAAATGCTAAGGACCAGCTCTACTCTGTCCTGTAGGATCACTGTGAGTGGACATTGATTTGATGGCAGTGGGTTTGGTTTTTGGTTGGTCTTCCCTGTTTAGAATATGGCACCTTCCTCTCAACACTTCTATAAGTGGTGCTGTAAGGTAAATACTGCTAATCACAAGGTCAGTGGTTCAAACCCACCAGCTGCTTCTCAGAAACCCTATACAGGGTAGCTATAAGTTGAAACCAATTTGATGGCACTTAACAACAACAAACCTTAGAGAATGGAGCATGCTGCCCTTGGGCCTAGAGGAATGCCCTAGATAGACTGCTTTTGGGGGAAGGATGGGTCAGCATGTAACCTCTCAAGGATGGAATACTGAGAAGTAGGAGGATTACAAAAGTGTCAAATGTGGCTGTTTCTACCTGTGTCTGAGAGAAGACCTCCTTACCCAGGAGAGGGGAAGGCAGAGCTGTATCTCCTTTTAACTGCCTTCTGCCTTCTACTTCTGCTTCCACCAGAATCCAGGGTCTGACTCAAGGACAGTGTGCACATTACCCTTGTCTTTACAAGAGAGGTTCATCTCCAGGGAGAGGAGGCCCAGATTCAGGAAGGCTCAATTATATTCTTTGATTAATTCACAATTAGCCAGAAAATGGAACCATCAGGAGAATGTCACTCCTGAATACTTTAATTTTCAGACACAGTGTTCATCTCTGTAATGTATTTTGTCAACAAAATAAATACCATGTCATCCTCAACATTACTTACGATACTTAAGGAACTAACGTTAATAATTTGTTTGAATATTAAATCCATAATGTTCATTCCTGTGAACCAGCTCTGAATAAAAGAGATAATGTAACATTTCAAAGTGGTAGAATTTTCTCCTCCCTAGAGAAAAATTTGACTTCATACTGCAGAAATGCAGCTTCTGTTTTGGCAGTAGACAGACTCTCCTTGTACCTTGCAAGGACAGGGACTGGGTTCTAATTCAATTGACTTTCCTGTCCAGCCACAAACTCCAGGATGAGGCTGTGGACCAGCACTGAACCCTCTACAAATGGCAACCCTGCGATGTCATGTAGAAGAATCAAAACTTGCTTTCACACTGGATTTGATAGAACTACTTCAAAAATCTTTACTTCTCTCCTTTGAAAGCAGATCCCATGGAATATACTTGATTCATTTCTCATGGTGAATTTCAGGGATGTTCCCAAGCTGTCTATCTGCAAGTGATCTCAGACTTGTGTATCTTTTGATCACATGCATATTCAAAGTATTTCTGTTTACTTGGTATTGATCTTTGTTACCCGCATATCTTGGGTCCAGTGCCCTGGAGTAATTGAGTCCAATTAATGATCACACCAAGTAAAACAGAGAAAGAGAAATCTTTTATTAGGTAACTGGCTAACAGAGCACCAGCAGCCACACAAAGGCTGCTTTTTAATGGTTATTCACTTAGTATTCATTTACAGGCAATATTTATGCTATTTCTTAACAATGTTGGGCACATATTGCATGCAGATGGCCAGTAATTCTAAATTCACATTGAATCACAAGGTAGTCACAAAACTCCAATAAACCTCTTAAAGGAGGGTGTGATTAACCATAGTTACTAAATAGTTACTCCTTATCAGAGTTTGTGCAAACAAGGATCATCTGTTTGTCTAAATAGTTACTCCTTATCAGAATTTGTGCAAACAGGGACCACACTGCAGACAGAACCAAGCAATCATTAACAGTCCAACCCCAATTAGCTAAAGCATACATTTAAGAAACAATGATAGGGTGTGGATGCA